GGGGTCAGCAGAAAGGCAACTGGGGTTCCGCTCCCAGGTGAGTATTAAAAGGAAGTGTTAAAATTATATGCAGTTGTTAACATCTCGGTAGCATGCACAATTAAAAAGAGAATTAAGAAGTACCGTGAATTCATTAATGGATGTTATATTTTCGAGTGCAACTCATAACAGTTTGAATTGCACTATTAAAGGAGTCAGTTTTAGATTTCTTGCGATAAACAACAGACAATGCATTTTAGAAATTGGGATTCTGCTATATAATGTGAAAAACGACAATGTCAAAGACAATTCATACATTAATTTTTTTTTCTAACACATAATTCTCTCAAACAGGTTACAACGACAGTTCACTTCATAACAGGTTACAATAGGTGATAACAATTCTCTCAAACAAATTAAAGACTACTTATTCCAACATATAACTCAAACAGCGAAAACACAACTCAAAGATTACGATAAAAGTTAGTGTAAAACATTTCCAAAGAGCGTTTCTTCATCAAAGGATCCCTTGCAATTCCAAGAAATTCTTTACAGGTTAACTCAAGGCTATAGATATCAAATATCCTCTGGGAGTCCACCATAGCAAAGATTTCGATTAGAATATCTCTTGGAAGATCCTTCAGGGACACATGACTATCAGTAGCCATCCTTGTACGTTTTGCAGAAGGCAAAGAATCCATCGACTCAGGACAGATGCACAGATAGATGAAATGAAAATTGTAAGATGAAACATAACTCCTATGTGGCCTCTTTATATAAACCTCCAGATGTAAATTGTAGTGGCAAACCAACAGTCAATAAAACTTAAATTGCAAGTGCATATATCTCGGTAATATGCAGAACTTGATATCCAAAGAAAGCACACGTATACAATTAACTGATGATTTTTATAATTTCTAGTGGCACAGATTATTAGGGTCCAAAACGTAATGTGTAATTTCATAGCTCCATTACATGCCACTTTAAAATTCAAGATATTGTTTTTGAAGAATTGAAAAAACCAAACCCTTCAGTTTAAATTTAGGACTGCAGAATCAGTGCTCTATAAAATCTATCAACAATAGATAGCCAACGGACACCACATACTAAACACATTACACATCGAAAGAAGCAAAACATCACAAGTGCCACAGATTTAATATTTAAATTTTGACGTAAACAAAAAAAAGTACAACAGGGAATTATAAAACACAAGAAATGTTTGGATAAGCTATTTTCAGAAATACAAAATAATCAAACATTCAGTCATGGTTGCTTCGCTCACTGAGAATCTGTATACGCTTCAGCATCAAACCTATTTCAAAAACCAAAATTTTTTTTACACAAATTAGTAATTTGTATCGCTTATGCAAATGAAATGGTTTGGACAATTATTGGTTGCATGAAAAAAAGGTAATCAAACAGAGATGACACAACGAGTAACATATTTTTTTTTCTTATTACGAATTAAAATATAAATAAAAATTAGAATCTACATAACTATTTTTCAAGCTTAATTTTTTTTGCTGTTCGCACAACCGAAGACTTAAATTCCTTAGCGTTAGAATCATGAGAATTCATCACAGGTGTCAATAAAGTTAGAGAAATGTCACCAACATCAGCACTGTCACACGTCTGACTCTCAACATCCTAGTCGATCAAATAAAATAACAAATATTATGTTAAGCACACATTCTAGGAAAATTACTAACTGAACACACATTATGTAACACGTATATAAATTGAAGTAATGGATTACCGCAGCCTTTTCTGGTTCTAATGATAACATTTCATTTTCGCGAGCATTATCGAAAGTTGCTTCATCCTGTAATCAACACCAACCAAAAATCGTCATATAAATGAATTCAAATTGTGGACACCTCATATGAACAATTCAACATCGTACATTGGGGTCAACCAAATCATTCAGGAATGCTGTGATTATCTCCTCGCTGATACAAATCTTAGATACTTGATATTTTGGCTCACTGTATGCGTTCAAATTTTTTCCTTCACATCTATATACCTGAGATTGTCGAGTTCTAACACGATCATCTTTGTCTTCCTGTCGGAAACTACATGCTCACACACTTCCCCAACTCCTGACAGTAAACCAATGGCGTCTACACAGCAAAGAAGACAGAACTATTTTATAATTTAAATCGCAAAATACACTGTTAATCAACAACAGCCATTATTAAACATTACACAACACTACCTACTAAATACGGAGAATCAGACGATTCTTTCTCAATGTGATCGTAATCAACAAAATCAAAAACATTCGCAGGAAAATTAGGTTGAACAATTGATCTAACATCAGTCCTCAAGTTGAAAGACAGACGGTACTCATGACGGGTTGGCCTAAAATTAACGCTACTGAATCCAACTCTGAAATTTTTAATAAAATACACTTCTCCATCAGTGATTTTTTTCGGACTTGAAGAGTTCCCTTAATAGTGGCATGGATCCTTCCACCCTACAAAAAAAGTGAAAGACAAAGTATCAATACAAAATGAAAATCATAACAGCAGCAACGAAAACAATAAAACAACGATCTGTATCATGTACCCGTTCATCCAACAAAACCATCTCAACATTGTCGTCCAAACCCTTACGTTGAAAGTTAGGAACTTCCCAAGATCGAACAACCTTAACCTTAATCCTCCAGTCCTCTTTTGTAGGATTCAGATCCTTTATAAAATCATATCTAGAAGCCATTTCTTTTGGGAAGAACGAAAAGACGAAAAGAAGCAGTAGAGGGAAAAGATGAAAAAATAACAATGACCGTAATAGAAAACCGGAGGGAAAAAACGAAAAAACAATGGAAAACGTTATCTTTTATAGAGGCAAGGAGTCAGAGATTAAAAATCAGCAGCTGAGTGCCACCCAAAACTCTCCAAATGTTTTCCCATCATCCCTATTTTAATTTCAAAAGTTCAAACAAATTCAAATTTCGAATTGTTAATCAGATGAACATCCAATGTAAAAACAACTGGGTCATTATAAAAAGGTGAAACACTCCATTTCAAAATTCAAAATTTGAAATCAGCTGACTCATTAAATCAGATGACCATTCCAATGTGAAGGCAAGTGGCTCATTAAATAACTTGTCTTCCACCACAATTGCTTTATTTTTTTCGGATTTTAAAAGTGAATTTCGATTTATAAAAGTTTTTTCTTCTTCCAATTTACCCAAAAAGAAAAGTTTGCAGGTGCTATGTAGTGTGAAAGCAAAACTCAGAATTCACCAGAAAGTGACACATCAGCGGACTTTCAAAAGTTTGGGTTTCCTTTATATATATAGATATATATATTATTAGAACATTCTTTTAATGTTGACCCGAAGAAAAACTCCAAATAAAAACGACTATACAAAATAAGAAAATAAAATGAAGAGTCAGAATCAGCTTGCGGAAGGTTGATTAGTTGATTCTAACATCAAATGTTGCTCACACGTTTCTACTGCTGGTGCTACAATCAACAGCATACGTGTTCAACAAGAAGTAATAATTCTCATGTTAATGAATTATATTTTAAGACGTTGGAATTATTATTTAATGTATGCATACAACTACGTTTAACGATACGGGTTAATCTTAATTTATTTCAAAAATTTCACATTATAATTTGTAATTATAAATTAAATGACAAAATCGATAGATTGAGTGGTAAATACATAATTCTCATGAATTTATTACTTTTATTATTTACCTGAGATTATAGTCTTCATAAATTAATAATTTATATTATTTACTTTATAAATTTTTTACTCGATTTATTATATTAACATAAAATATATAATTTAAAAAAATACAAACTTTATTTTTGGGAAAATGCCAAAAATAGACTCATTAATGATATAATTTATATGATTTTATACTCTCTTTTTTTGGTTACATATGATTTTATACTTTTTGAAGAATAATATATAACCAATAATTATTAATTTAAGTAACTAATTAATTTACCTTAATTAGAGGTTGAATTTGAGTCATGGCCTTGAAAGAACGACCTTTTATAGTTTGATTGAATCCAACTAATTAAAGGTTTAATTAATTAATTTGAAAAAGAAGGTAGCAGATAATTTTATTTCCTACACATTATAAAAGTGTGTGGGTCCCATGTAAATAGAAGAAAAAGAAAAAGAAAATATGGATACAAATATTTTTATATGTGCGTATACAACATGAAAAACATTAATTCCAAAAAAGAATCGTATAAATATTTATCGTATATCATCCCTAATCAAAATTTATGATTTAATCAATAACCATTGTCTTAATGATATGAATTTTATTATCTTTAGTTGGAGATCTCAACTTTGAGCTTAAAATGAAAACAATAATTTCAAAAGAGCTACATTTCAATATAAGTCTCATTTGAATCAAATTAGTCGGATAATTATTCACTAATTAAAAAAGAGGTACGTTTTACTTGTAATTTTGTTTTACTTACAATCTTTTACAAGTATTTTTGTTAATATTAGATCAAAATCAAATCAATATTTACAAAATAAAATCAAGTTAAAAGTTCAAATCATTAATTTGATTTTGATTTAACTATAACAAAATAATTGTATAAGAAAAAATTGTAAGTATAACATAAAAAAATTCATTTAATGAATCCTTTTCTCGTTGTCTCACACGTTTGCCATCTTATCTCTTGTTTGTTGGTGTTGGAATAGAACGTTCCACGTTCCCCCGGTTTCCATAATTAACTTTCTTACTAAGGGAAAAAAAAACAATAAAATAAAAAATACTTTTCTTCCCTCGATTTTTTATTTCTTATTTTGTAACAAAGTTTATAACTTTGGTCAAATCCCAGTTTCCATAACAACCTTTCATTCTAAGAAAACTGAAAACCAAAAACAATAATATACCTTTCTTCCCATTTAAATTTTTTTTTTTTAAAAAAAAAAATTTGCTTAACTATATTTTCACCACACCTGTCATTATCCTTTTTCATGAGTCAGATTTACCTTATTTTTCGGAGTTATTAAAGTAATGATTAAATCCACGTTGGCTCTGAGATCCATGAAGCTTTACATACGCCACTCTGTGGATGGTTGGTGCTTTGAAATGCTTTAAAAAAAAAAAAAGTTTTTTTTTTTGATTTTTTATTGATATATATAAATCAGGCTGAATCAAAGTGTTTGGAATTGTGTAGAATTCAGGGTTGCATTTTGTTTGCAGAGTAAGAGGAAAAAGAGGAGAGAGATAAAGGAATCAACCATGAAGCTTCCTGGTGTTAATTATGAATTACAGAAGATTTTGGATGCTAACATGGATGAAGTTTCTTCTAGAAGGCGTGCTCGTGAGGCCATCAAAGATATTCAGCTTGGAATTGATCATATACTGTTTAAGGTATGTGTATATGTCTTTGATCTTGTTTTTTGTTTTGTTGTTGTTATTGTTGTTTGTCGAATTGATGAAATGAATCCAACTACCCCATTTTTTTAAAAATTTGTTTGGTTTGGTTTTGTGAGTAAATTTTTATTCTTTTTTGTTTTTTTGTTTTTTGGGGGGGAGGGGGAAGATTGCATCATCCAGCTACTATTGTAATAAACTTGGTTGTGATGTTTTTCTCTTTCTTTAGTTTTGAGGGATATTAATTTTTATAGTACGTGGTGGTTGCAACCTGGTTCAAGAAAGGTTAGGTGGATTTAAAACGTTGACTTAGAGATTGCTAGTTGGCAACTCCGTAGAAATTGAAATCAAAGAGGGAGAAGAGGGTCTGTTCTAGCTATTAAATGTTTTTAGCTGAATTGTAACTTTTTATAGTTAGGTGCAACAGGTGAAGGGGATGTTGCCTTAAAAGTCAATAGTGTCAGCCATCAATGCTTTATATGAGATAAAACTGCTCAACAATCTTTAGGAACTTATGATAATTAAGACAGTTGAATGATGAATTGCTTAGGTAGTTATTCCTCCTTAAACTTACTGTTTTTTTTTTTTTTGGTCTAGTATTTTGCCATGCTCAAAGAGAGCGAGCCTTAAAGAGTAGTAAAACTGTTCCTTTGTGATAGAAAGATTACGAAGAAATGTCCCCACCCTAACTCTCGAGGTTTAATGAGGAGTATTTTTTTTTTATTTATTGTGGCCTGCTAATTCTTTCTTACTCTTTGTTGCATCACACTCACTAATCATGTTCAATAAAATTCTTACAGTTCCCCCCCCCCCCCCCATACTGTTTCAAATTCATCAATTTATTGACATTTACATAATCTTGGTGCAGTGATTATTTCATCTGTGTATGTATGTGTTTTTTTTTAATTGGGTACATGGTGCAGTAATCATTTGATCTGATGTGCTATTTCAGTTGAAGTTAAGTAAAATATTACTTCCTTTTAATGGTAATATTGATTCTTTTATAATTTGTTGCTTTGCAGGCTCCATGTGAAGGACTAATAATGAAAGAGGTAAGAAGTTTAGTTTAAAACTGTTTCATGCTAAGAATCATCATCAATGCCACCTTGTCATTGTCCTGTTTTGCTATTGATATGTGATGATCACTTAGTGTGTGTGTTTGTTATGCAACAGTGGTATGAGAAGAACTCAAGGGGTCTAGAAATCTTCTGTAAAAGTTGGCTTCCTCCTGAATCTAGGCCCAAAGCAACAGTGTTTTTCTGTCACGGTTATGGAGACACTTGCACTTTTTTCTTTGAAGGCATGTAGCTGGTATTAAGAACTAGTAGAGCTATAAGTAACTGAATTCAGTTACCTTGTGGATTAGCAACTCAACTGTATCATGAAATTATTTGCAGGAATAGCTAGAAATTTGGCATCATCTGGATATGGAGTTTTTGCTATGGATTATCCAGGATTTGGTCTTTCAGAAGGTCTACATTGCTATATTCCCAGTTTTGATAGGCTTGTTGATGATGTTATTGAGCAGTACTCGAAAATCAAAGGTACTTATACAGTTATACTCCCATTGACCTCCCTGTCATGAAATTCAACCAATATAAAGCTGTTGTGTTAGCATTAGTTTCTTCTCAGGAAGGGAATCAAATATCATATCATAGTGTGCTGGTGGTCTGTGTACTTTGGATAAAGTTAAGGGATCCAGAACTGTAGAGTATTTACTTCTGTTGAATAAAATAAACTATTTGTAGTTTCCCTTCTGAAAGTAGTATATATGAAGTAATGCTCCATAATAGAAAGGTTCACGGAGAATATCATAAAAAATGAGTCAACTGATGAGTTGTGTTTTGCAGTGGTCCAAAGCAAAAAAGTTGTGCTTTTAGGGAAAAAAATAAATTTTTGAAAGGGTAAACTTAAAAGCTAAGGGGAACTTCAGATTATTTATTTATATGTTTTGAGGGTTGGAGGAGGGGAATATAGATTCACCTTTGTTTGAAAAAGGAAATTAGTAGGCTTTATAAAATTGCAATTCATCAGGTTGAAGTTTTTTATCTCATTGTTAATTATAGGCTAAAGCTTCTTTATCTTCCAATTTAAAAATTACATGTGTTTTCATTTTACATTGGATGCAAGTTATACAACTAAATACTATATGGGAGTATTCATGCAAAAGATTTGGTTTATTCTATGGCAGAAAATCCAGAGTTCCATTCTCTTCCCAGCTTCCTATTTGGGCAATCTATGGGTGGAGCTGTTGCATTAAAGATACACTTGAAACAACCTAAGGCATGGGATGGTGCCGTTCTTGTTGCACCTATGTGTAAAGTAATTTTCCTCAAACACAATCATCTTAGTAGTTCTGATAGGCTTTGTTATGATCTCCCTTTGAGTTGAAACTCTATGTAGATTGCAGATGACATGGTTCCACCAAAGTTGGTCACTCAGATCCTGATTGGTTTAGCCAAAGTTCTTCCAAAGCATAAGTTAGTTCCTCAAAAGGATTTAGCAGAGGCAGCTTTCAGAGAGAAGAAGGGACTGGTTTGTATTTTGTAATCCAACATAGTTTTATTTTTGGTCTGCTAATTTAAACACAAAGATAATCTATAGATTAAGCATATTAACACATCCTTCCATGTAACCTTGAAGATATTTGTGTGTGTTATTAAGTGTTTGACACTTTTCTGATTTTTATGCAGACAGCCTTTAATGTTATTGCTTACAAGGATAAACCGCGCTTAAGGACAGCTTTAGAAATGCTTAATACTACAGAAGAAATAGAACGGCGATTGAATGAAGTATGTTCTGATGTTCTGAATTATGTATCTTTTGTTGTTAAATGTCTAAAGAAACTGGACCTGTATGATGAAACTCCCTCCGTGGTCCCTGAACTCTTTTGGGATAATTTTCATGCTTAGTCTTAAAAATAAAGTCAAATGCTCAAATCCCTTGTAATAAAGACATAGCAGAAGTGGTCTTTGATTGAGGATTGTTCTAACTAATAATAAAATAAAATAGTTTGATTTCTATTGATGTTAATTCTATTCAGTCTTTATGGGATCTTTGAACTGATATGGCATAACATGTAGAGGTTTTTTGGCATTGAAAATGCTACTGGGGTTGAATATCTTAATTATAATATGCTTAAATTGATCTAAATACATAGTAAAGAACGCAATAAATATATTTGCATGCTTCTCACAACACAGCAACCTTTTTTGAAAACTTCATCTCACTAAACAAGAGCTAACCTTAGTTCTTTACATATATCATTGTACTACTGTGGCAGATGCTAATATTCTCAAATGTAAAACTTACAATACAATACCCTTAATATGTATCTAACAACCCTAAAAATGGTTAACTTGCTAATGACTTATGTCATTTTCTACATGGTAGTATATCTTGGAACTTTATTAGATTGTTTCTGTAGAAATATTGTACTTTTCGTATTGAGCTTTCATTTCTAGAACTAATGTTTAAATCTGAAATTTCACTTTTTCCCCTGGAGTATAGTCTTTTGAGAATAATGTAATGAAACTTATTCATCATATTTACATGTGTGATGACTGTGATTACAGGTCTCTCTACCAATATTTATTCTTCATGGGGAGGCTGATATTGTGACTGATCCATCAGTGAGCAAAGCCTTGTATGAGAAAGCAAGTTGTTCAGACAAGAAGCTTAAGCTTTACAAGGATGCATACCATGCTCTTCTTGAGGGTGAGCCTGATGAAACAATAATGCAAGCTTTAGGTGACATCACTTCATGGCTAGATGAACACAGCTTGAAACATACTCAACCTTCCTCTTAATACTGATTACTTTCACTATCTTTCGATTCAAAACAAGTACATTCAGATTGTTTTCAGCTAAGGGAAAAAAAGAAAGTTGCTATTGCTTCTATAAAAGTAACTAGAGCATCAAATTTTAAAGTTGTTAGTTCTTCACAATATTAGTTAATTACTAGACCTTGGCCATGTTTTCTGTGAATAATATATAATGTTTATATCTTTACATAAGCAAAAAAGAAATATAGTGGGAACACAAAAATAATGGCTTTTATGCCTGCTCTGGGGAAAGAGAGGGGAAGAGGCTGATTAAGGCTTAACTAGGAACCTCCTTTGTTTGATATGGTGTATATGTGACTGCATGGTATAGCTTTTCCCATTATAATATTGTATTCACCCTTGATTTGTGACTAAGTATGAACCTATCAATCTTCACAAGATTGTATTTGAATTAGTGTCTATTTAGATCCTCTTTTTTAAGCTAGAAGCTACTTATAAGCAGAAGCTGACCAAACAGGTTTTGAGAAAAGCTCTTATAATAAAAAGTTTTTTTTATAATGAAAAAAAAAGCTATAAGGCAGAAGCTCTTAGGAGGAGGTTTTTTTTAAGCTCTCGTCAGCTTTTCTTGAATTGTATGTTTTTTTTTTTAACGAAGAGTTATAAAGATAGAAAGATAGATAGATAGATAGAGAGAGACAGGGGGCGGGAGAGAGAGAGTTTTCTTGAAATATATGCTTATAAGTAACTTTTAAGCTAGAAATTCTATGTAATCACCAAACAGCTTTTAGTTTTTTTTTAAGTTTTTTATTTTTTTTAGCTTTAGCTTATAAGTAGCTTCTAGCTTAAAAAAGAGAGGATCCAAACAGACTATTAGTTTATTTTGTATTCAAAACAACTTAGTCTAAATCTTATTGAAAGAGTTTATGAAAAAAAAGAAGAAGTAATTTTGCCCTAAAATTTAAGCTATTTCATATATGCTTACTACATGATTTTTGCTTATTTCCTTCCTACAGATTGCCAAAAAAGAAAAAAAAAATTGATGGTTAAGAAATGATGCTAATGTTTAACCGAATCCTACTTAATTGTGAGAGGTCCCAAAAAAAAAAAAAAAAAAAAGTTTTCCAGCGATGAGATCAATTAGAGAGGTTATTATTAGATACATAATATAAAATTCATTCATGTGCCTTTACTTAATAATTTAAGTTTTTGAGAAAGTTATGACACAATATCAGTGTATGAATGACTAAGTAGTATAGAGTTTGATTAGATTATTTGAAAATTAATTAAGTTAATTGAAAAATACACTCTTAAAATGAACAGAAGTCTCCAAAGAGGCAAGGCACCACAATGAAGTATTATACTTAATTACGAAAAATGATATAATACTCTATCTTGGTGCACTAATTATTTTTCATCTGTATGGTAGAAGAGATTTTTGGTGTACTTTGATGCCTTTGCTCAGCTTTTCGTCTGAGAATTTTCTTTTCTATTAGTTGAAGATGATCCTACAATTTTTTCCTCAGTACAATGAATTCAAGCATTGGGTCTATATTAGGGACAGCTATTTTAAGAGTCCAAATAATAAAAAAGTTAAAAAGGAAAATGAAAACTGAAGATTTATAATGTTGTCATACATCTGAATGTGACCCGACTAGGAGAAAAAAATAATTGACTCTACTCTTTGAATGAGTGTAAGAAAACAATATTGAAAATATAAATTGAGTGTGATGAATGAAAAATACAAATTCGCATTAGATAAAAAATAAATAGTGTTATATAAAGAGGAAAGACCTAATCCCTTAGGTAGTGTGTTTGGTTCGAGAGAAATTTTTTTTACTAGGGAAATGTAATTGATAGGAAAATGGTTGGAAAGTGAGTTTGATAGGAAAATGTAAAAAAAGTTGTTTGGTTGACCCAAATATTACCAGGAAAATTTATTTAAATATGCAAAATCTATGTTCGGGAGAAACTTTGCACCTGTTTTTTCACTTCCCCAGTCATCTCAAAATGCCACATCTCAAGTGGTATTCTGTAACAGTGAATTTCATCCAAAAATCAACCCATCTATCCTATTTGTCTGGTATTTCTTGAAAAAACTTGAACCAAACGTGGTATTTTCCAATATCCACCTACATTTTCCCATCAATCCTAAAATAAACCTTCAACCAAACACTTCCTTAAAGTTTTATGTTAAGTGGTCTTGAAAGTTGGCTTTTTGACCCATAAAATCCAAAATTAGCAGGGGTGACAATTTTCAACACAATACGTGGACGACGACCCATTTTTAAATTCATGCTATGTTCGTGTTAACAAAAACTGACAAGCAAAAATTTGTGGTGTCGCATGTCAACTTGCGAACTTGAAATTAACTCACTTTAATCTTCTTACAGGTTATTCATGTTGTATAGTGTCATAAATAGATTATTTGTGTTTTATCGTGTATGTTAAGATGCATAATAAGCAATACACTTTGAGGTTGACAAGTTATTCGTGTCATGTCAACCCGCGTTATAAGTGATACACTTTGAGGTTGCGGGTTAATCATGTCGTGTTGTGTCAACCAGCAAAATAAGTGGTTTGTGTTTGTGTTAAGTGTATTTATATTCGTGTCGTGACATATCAACCCGAATTGTCACTCCTAAAAATTGGAAACATTTCACCCATTTAATTCTTTAGTTAAACAATTTACCAATTTAATGCAAGTGAAATGTGCATATGGGATGTGCAAGTTCAAGTCGTGTATCATCCCATGCACGACTTGTGCAAAAGTTAGCACATGCCTACCATGTGTTATGCTCTACAAGATACGCATCATTCATGTGTGCATTCAAGTGGTGTCCTTCTCCATATGCGTCTTACATCCACGCAATGACTTTTGCACAAGTTACACATGGAGTGATGTACGACTTAAACGCACAAATGAACGTCTTTTTGCATTACACTAGTAAATGATTTATCCCCAAAGTGAGTTGGCCTAACGGTTGTTGGCTAGGCCCCAGAACATACCCCTACCAATGAAGGGGGAAAGGTTCGAATCCTGGAGACACCCATTTGAGGAGAGCTTTATCGTAAACAACTTCCCAACCCGAAGTGGTTACACACTTTGCCACCATTTCGTAACCAAAAAAATTAAATCAAACAGATAAAATATTTCCGATTTTGGATTGTTTGTGTCAAAAAGCCCTTGAGGGGGCGTTTGGTTGATGAAATTTTTTTGGAATAGTAGGGAAATGTAATAGATAGAGAAATGATTGGAAAGATAGATAAAGTGAGATAGGTAGAAAAATGTAAAAAAAAGTTGTTTGGTGGGGAAAAACTTTACTGGAAAAATTAGGTAACTTTATGAAATCAACAGTGCAAAAAGTGTGTCTACGGTAGCATATCCGGGTTCTCATCAAAAACCACATGCAACTTTGCTTTCTAAACAGTGCAAAAACGTTGGTTTCTGAGTCAAAGTTGTGAAACACATGCAACTTACATAGATGGTTATTTGGAGAAAATCTTTCGAAACAAACGTTGGCTTTAACAACACCTTAGTTAATATAGATGGGTAAATATTAAAAAGACCCAAACCAAACAGCACCTGAGAGTGTTCCAAGAAAGGTGGTGATCCCAATTAGATATCCACCTATTGGAGGAACCCATACAACACCATGCTCTTTGACAATGATAGATTTCTAAATTAACTTAGGAAAAGAATAACTAAAAATAAATATGTATCGTGAGAGTTTGGTAAATTACAAAGCTTCAGTAAAGTGGAGATAGAGACATGACAAGTCTTTGCCAGATATAGTAGAGAACTTGTGCTAAAATTGTTGGGTGTTAATTGTGAATGATGCGTCATACTTTTGTTTTGCCTCTCTTTGGCCCCCCATATACCAAGGGACCTATTTATAGGGTGTAAGTCTTAGAATCCATTCAAACTATTCGTTGAAATTGAGGAGATCCCACTTGTAGCATAGTCAAATTATTAATTTTTTATCCCTTTAAAATAAGTGTTACATAGGTAAATTCTCTAGACTTGGGTCACTATCTCAACCTTCTTAATTAAATAAATTTTGTCAAGTAAAATGCATGTTTCAATTGATTTACTGCCCAAGTTTAATTTAGCTATAAGGACGTGTACAAATTCTATGCAATAGTGGTTGAGATTTTATTTTTGCCATCTATACCACTATGAATTTTTTTTTTTCACATTATCTTCACATTATGTTACAGAGATATAATATAAAAATCATTTAAGACTTATTACTTATTAACTTAAGCTGTTCAGTGAAACGATTGCTTTACATGGTCGGTGACCATCGACCATGGGGTCAAGAATTTGATACTCATCATCCTCCATTTTCTAGTGAAATTAAGTCAGCACAAGGTAAAATAAAAAAAGGTTCCGTGCAATATCCATACTTAAGGCCCAAATGACTCTTGTACGATGGGGTGTTATATATATATATATATATATATATATATATATATATATATATATATAAACTATTAATGGATCTTCACTTCTCAGTTTAAATTTTGGGTTGAAACGATTCTTTATACATTAAGAGATTTTTCGTGTACTTTGATGCCTTTGCTCAGCTTTTCGTCTGAGAATTTTCTTTTCTATTAGTTGAAGATGATCCTACAATTTTTTCCTCAGTACAATGAATTCAAGCATTGGGTCTATATTAGGGACAGCTATTTTAAGAGTCCAAATAATAAAAAAGTTAAAAATGAAAATGAAAACTGAAGATTTATAATGTTGTCATACATCTGAATGTGACCCGACTAGGAGAAAAAAATAATTGACTCTACTCTTTGAATGAGTGTAAGAAAACAATATTGAAAATATAAATTGAGTGTGATGAATGAAAAATACAAATTCGCATTAGATAAAAAATAAATAGTGTGTTATATAAAGAGGAAAGACCTAATCCCTTAAAGTTTTATGTTAAGTGGTCTTGAAAGTTGGCTTTTTGACCCATAAAATCCAAAATTAGCAGGGGTGACAATTTTCAACACAATACGTGGACGACGACCCATTTTTAAATTCATGTTGCGTTCGTGTTAACAAAAACTGACAAGTAAAAATTTGTGGTGTCGCATGTCAACTTGCGAACTGGAAATTAACCCACTTTAATCTTCTTACAAGTTATTCATGTTGTATAGTGTCATAAATAGATTATTTGTGTTTTATCGTGTATGTTAACCTGCATAATAAGCAATACACGTTGAGGTTGACAAGTTATTCGTGTCATGTCAACCCGCGTAATAAGCGACACACTTTGAGGTTGCGGGTTAATCGTGTCATGTTGTGTCAACCAGCAAAATAAGTGGTTTGTGTTTGTGTTAAGTGTATTTATATTCGTGTCGTGACATATCAACCCGAATTGTCACTCCTAAAAG